TGATATTTAAGTAACTCCAACATACTATTCAAACGAGGTCTGTTAGGTAAAGTAGTTTGTCATTTTCATTTTTTAGAGCTCCAACAGCCTATCTAAACACCAAGTTTATTTACCTCCATCATTTTTTGTTGCAAAATTCTATAATACACACCAAAAAAGACCAAAAAAAAAAAAAAAAAAAGGTGTGTACCATAATGCTCTAATTATGATTTTTGTGGTATTTGGTATGATTCATTCTAATATTAGTTATAACTTAATTATAACCTCTTGTGATTGTTATTTTTTATTATAAGTAAAGAGGTCTTTAGCTATCCCTCAAGTAGTATTTGGCTGTGATCCTCAAACAAGGGCACTAGTGGTTGACCATAGAAAGTGATTGTGTCAGTTTTTTCCAGTGATGCTACAAGTGTCAAATTCATGCTAATCTCATGAACACCCCACCGTCAAAATTCTACAATATGACTTCACCATGGCGTTTTCTTAGTTTGGGCATTGACGTGATTGGGGCAATTATGCCAAAAGGATTGAATGGACATAAATTCATCCTGGTAGCAATTGATTACTTTACCAAGTGGGTGGAAGCACAATTGTATTCAGTGTTGAAAGCATCGCACGTGGCCAAGTTTATCAAGAAGAACATCGTTTGTAGGTATGGGGTTCCAAATAAGATTGCTTCAGACAACGGTTGACACTTCAAAGGAGAAGTGATTGATCTGCTCGAGAAATATAATGTGACCTTTCACAAGTCATCAACTTATAGGCTACAAACCAATGGAGTCGTTGAAGCCGCGAACAAGAACATTAAGAATGTTCTACGGAAGATGATAGGGACCTACAAGGATTGGCTAGATAAGTTACCCTTTGCACTATGGGGATATACGACATCGATCTGAACATCTACTTGGGCAACTCCCTACTCTCTGGTATATAGGATGTAGACAGTATTGCCATTTGAGATAAAAGTACCTTTGATAAGGATTATGGCTAAGTGTCAGATAGCAGAGGTGGATTGGCAACCGAATTGATTCAAAGAGCTGATGTTGTTTGATGAGAGAAGTTTGAAAGCGTTGTACCATATGCAAGGGTACCAGCGCAGAATTGCCCAAGCATTCAATAAAAAGGTTAAATCTAGAAATCTAAAGAAGGGGAATTTAGTGCTGAAAGACAATCGGGCTCCAATTTATGATCCTAGGGGCAAGTTCAAACTTAAATGGATTGGTCCTTACATCATCAAGTCAATTTGGTCCGCCGGAGCAGTCATTGTGATGGATCTGGATAGACTAGAGTTTTCACAGCTGATCAAAATGAACATGTTGAAGAAGTATTATCCCTAAGAGGCTCGCTAGGTCAAAAACCTAGAAGGGTGACCCAGGCAAAGGGTAAAGCAAGAAAAATAAAAAATGAAATAAAATAGAGCTCATAAGGTTGAAAGTCCGAAAGCGCGACATTGGGAAAAGTTAGACCGCAAAAGGAGAGTGTTAGCACCCGAGTGAACCTTAACCATGAATTATGTAAGGCCTGATTCCCATTCTTGGGACAAGTTTCAATTTTATTACAATTTTCAATGCATTTTATACTTTGTTTCTTTACATTACAATCGTCAAAGAAATTCTTAAATTTGTCAAGGCATGGAACACCAACCACATCGCGTGATCCGTTTGTTGTTTGTGAAAATTGGTTTTGTTGGCGGACTTTTCTCTGTCAATTTATTCCAAACCAAATTTTTGCTAACAGGGTTATAAGGACTTAGTCTGGTATGTGCAAGCTCGCCTAGGATACCCATATATCCAAAATAAAAAATAAAAAATTGAAACAATTTGAAACATTAAAACTCAAAATGACACAAATTGTTTACTATGACTAAAAAGATGACTAATTAACCCATTTGATAATTTTACTATGTATTTAATTTTGATATTTTTATGCACAAAGGGTCTCCAACAAACTCCAATTCAAGTCTTATTCTGGATTTAATTCACAAACTATTCATCATCCACAAAACTTTCCTAGATATCCTGGTTGGAACAGGATTGAATATCAACAACCTTCTTTCCTCTTCTATGAGTAGATGACGAGATGAGAGCACGAGTCAGATGTTCTGACCAACACATTCAGAATCTTGGAGTTTGCATTGTCTCATTCATTTATTCTTTTTCTAGGACACTTCTCTTCTTCTTCTTCTTCTTCTTCTTCTTCTTCTTCTTCTTCTTCTTCTTCTTCGCCTTCTTCGCCTTCTTCGTATTGTATGAAGTTGTAAACTCTTCAAATTTGATATTTAGGTAACTCCAACATACTATTCAAACGAGGTCTGTTAGGTAAAGTAGTTTGTCATTTTCATTTTTTAGAGCTCCAACAGCCTATCTAAACACCAAGTTTATTTACCTCCATCATTTTTTGTTGCAAAATTCTATAATACACACCAAAAAAGAAAAAAAAAGAAAAAAAAAAGGTGTGTACCATAATTCTCTAATTATGATTTATGTGGTATTTGGTATGATTCATTCTAATATTAGTTATAACTTAATTATAACCTCTTGTGATTGTTATTTTTTATTATAACTGAAGAGGTCTTTAGTTATCCCTCAAGTAGTATTTGGCTGTGATCCATGGTTATGACATATTATGATATTGGTTATGACTTATTATTGTTGTTATTTTGGTTCTTATCGAAAAGATAATTATATTTCAATGGTGTTTGGTTATGATCCATTGTAGTTTTTGAAATATGATTGAAAGTGATTTGGTTAAGAGTATTAACACCGAAAAATATCATAGCTTGCATATAATACACCATTTTCGGAGATGTGTATGGTATAGAAGGACCCTTTTTGTGCTCTATTGCTGACTTGACATGTCCCAACACATTATCAATCTTAAATTAGTTTAAATAGAGAATTAAATTAATAGTAATGTTGGAGTCCATTGAAAAATCCAAACACTATAGACAGAGCAAACGCAACATCGCTCTTTGTAATCTTGACAAATTCTATGAAACTTAATATTCTCACTCTACCAGGAACCTCTTGATAATTTCAGACAGGGCTTAAGTGGCAGAGTAAAAGTGCAATAGAGGAGAAGCAATGAGGTTAGTTTTTGCAACCAATTCTTTAGCTGCAGTACATGAAGGACACCGATGAATATAAGCCAGAGCCATCCAAAGGATAGCTGACAGCATAGTTATCAGAACAGAGATGAGCAGACTGATAACCATATGAAGATGTTAAGAAATTGAATTTCTATATAAAAAGTTTATATTAGTGAAATATTCAATTCATCAAGGAAATGATAAAGATCAAAGATAGGTTGGAAAATTTAACACTTAGAGAGATGGATTCTGTTGAATGGAAATGCATAAATCAAGAAATTATAAAATGGCTACCTGTTGGCCTCACAGTATATGGTAACCATAAAAATGTAATCTTTATTCCATGTTCACACCTGTCAAACAACAATTGCATGTGCTGAAGCTCTTCCCAATTATCAAAATAATAAAACTATAATAAAACCTAAAACTAAACTAACAACTCCATGTAAGTAAAAAATCTCCTTGAAGCTTCTTTAAAAGAGTTTAGAGAGAGCTCTCACAATTGTGAGTAAAAACTTAAACATGTTAACATAATGATCAAAATACAATTAGACAAGTGTACATGCACAATGGTGGAATATACTATCATCACCATTATCATCATATAACACATGCTTTTGTTTTGTTTTTGTTTTTGTTTTTGCTTTTGTTTTTGCTTTTGTTTTGTTTGTTTGCTTGTTTGTTTGTTTTTTATAATCACATTTCTGCACTTATGTTTTTCTTTTCCAAAACTTTATATATAGGCTTATGCCATTTGGGGGTTTGAGAAGGGTTAGATGTACCCAAGCTTACCCTTGCATGCAAAGTGACAGTTTTCTTGCAACGATGCACAAGTCACGAAGCAACCTTACCACAGCGCCAAAACCCACCCTTAAAGATATAAACCTAACCAAGCCTTTTAGTCTCATCAAATGGGGTCGACTACATAAATCATTCTTCTCCACTCAACTCCATCCAATGTCTTTTCGTTAGTCAAATTAAGGAGGTTCATACCACTATTATAAAGTTCACTTGTTTTTTCAGTAGACGATATAATAGTGGTCGCCACACCTTCATATATATTTCTAATCACATCAATATAACATTTTATCACTCTTTTCTTCTCTAACACCAACCAGATTAAAGATATAACCGTGACAAAAATACTTTCGTATAAAAAAACAAGTCTATCAAATGAGGCAAATGTTAGTTGATGCAAATCTTGAGACATACTCCTCTGCAAGTGTTACAGTGCTACTCTGAAACCTTGGGGGTGTCAGGTTAGTATTTGTTTCTCCTTTTTGTAAAATAAAATAAAATAAAATTTCCGACCTGTGAAAATCTGAAGTGGCAACTCGTAAAAGGAATAAAAATAAGTAACAGAAACAACAAAAGTCAACAAGAATGGAGAGCACTTAAACAATGCTTGCTCATAGACTGAAAATAGAATGACACATGATGTCAGTTTTAACATTGAAAGTGGAATGAATAATTGCATAATTTCTGGGCTTAGACACCCCTTACATTACAACACGAAGAATTTTACATGATGATATGAAAGCGTTGAGATACATTCTTTTAACTTAGTCATAAGTCTCCATTTCCAATAAAAGCATGCTTAAGAAACATACAAACCAAATCCAAGAAAAGCAGGCTGATTGAAGGGATGGTATGAAAATTAGGCAGTGATCTGCCATCTTGATTCCCATTTAACCAAGAAAAGAAAGATGTTTCAATCCTAGACTTATTTTTTTTCTACTCTTATTATTTTAGAAACAGTTAACAGTGATGAGAAATTTCTTTATATTTCAAAATAAATGTACATATCATACATATCATACACATCATACCTATTTCTTTAAAGCCCGTGAAAGCTAAACACAGAGCCATCATTGATCTTTTTATGCAAAATTTTTACATGAGAATGCGGGTATCTTCACTTTATGAGTGCCAATCCAATAGCAGTGACTATAAGAGTGGAGGGAAATCCAAATTTAAGATGGTTCCAGAAAGATAAATTGTATCCGAAGAGTGGAGCTCGACGAGCCTGCTCACACACTATCAAATTGGCAGCCGATCCCAATAGAGAGAGGTTCCCTGCTACAGTGCTGACCCAAGCTAACATAAGCCATGCTTTCTTCTCGTTTGCTGGAGATATTGCAGCTGCCGATGCTGCCACCCGTCCTCCAAGCAATAGAACTGATGACATTATAAACATATTACTCTACAGGCCAATAAAAAAATCATTGCATATAGATGGTCTAAAAATTAATCTAATATGAGTAGTATTAGCAGGAATACCTCTATTTTAACCATTGTATTATAGATTTACTTTTGCAAATATTAAATTTTAATTTTAAAAAGATTATCAAACCAGGTGACAAACTATTATGAGGAAGAAAGTTTATGACTACCCTTAAAACAACTATGATAATGTCAAACCAAAAACGGCACAAATGTAAAAATATTCAATAAAACAATACACCAAAAATCAAACAAAACTCATTAACTATTGATTTATTAAATCAACTGCAACTGGTGCTTCTTATATCATCTTAAATACTAAAATTATTCCTAAATATTGCCAGTTTATCTTCTGCAGGGATTCAAATGGACATAATCAATTTCTAAGCCCCAAGATTCGCTTTTTCCTCGTCACTCAATTGAGTATCATCACTAATCAGAACATTGTAGGTGCACACAGACAAACATAGACATGGACTAGGAAAGGCTTATAGGCTTTCTGCCTTGCAGTGGTGTTAAACCAGTAAGACCTTCAAACTGGATATATTCCCTTTGACAAAATGAGAAATGACTACAAACTGACATGTTAAAGGGGGAAGTCACAGCAACCAAAATGATCTCCGAGAAACAATGTATATAATTTAAACATCAATAAGGAAAGCAAATTTTTCAGCACAACCGATAACTAATCATAATAATTCCATTGCAGTACTTTACGGCTCACACGGTTTATTCCAAAATTCTTTTCAAGCCATAGAATGAGCAGCTCCCAAATTTGGTCTTTAGCATGTGAAGAAATTCTAATCAAGAAGACTTGGCCATGTGTTGAGGTGTTAATCTATTTGCATTTTGAAAAAAGTTGCTTCTGTAGAACAATGTTGTAAAGCCTTCAACTTTATACTAGTCACCCATGAGTTTTCAAATATTCTCATAGAATTTCCATTTAAAGAAGTTCCTTCTTTTGTGACTTGGTTAAAGTTATCTATTTGTTCGAGGTACACCAGCCATAGCTAGTTCAATTCAAGCCTCAGCCATTGCTTTTTACAGAGGGAAATTGGAACTTTATGAACATACATGCACATCACTATTGAACCAGGTCTAGTATTCTTTTAATTGCTTGCAAGTACTTCATGCAAAAAACAATAATTACAAGTCAATGTCATAAAGTTAAAGTTGCATCCAGTAATCTCTAAGGAAAATTCTTCTTTTTCTTTTATAAAATTAACCTTTAAATCAAGATTATCTAAAAGGTAATAGAAAGCAAAACAAGAAAAGTAGCACCATCATACCAGTGGGTACGTTTGAAGCAACGTTTGAGAGAACAAGTATGACAGCAGCGAGAACTGCTATCCCACCAACGTGATCAATCTGCGCATAAGGCTCCATGAAATCCCATAGAGTGCTAGGAATTCCTGTTTTGTTGAATCCATCGACTGTGATGAACATTCCACAAAAGAAGAGTAATAGTGAATAGGATACCTGGATAAAGAAGGAAATAGAGTTAATAGTCCTATGGCCAGCAAGCAAAGTCAATTTGAAAATTCTATATTGTTAAGCAGAAAAAGAAGAAAACTTTGAAATTTTCATCAACACAAATAAGTTAAGATAATGCAATAGATTGTACCTTTTCCAAGGATGGTCGAGCATCCTTAAAATCAAGAACCGCAAGAGCTAGTGCAGCAGTAATTGCAGTCCATGACATATTCAGTCCCATGAGCAAGGAAATCAACATACCGATAGTAACGAGGTAAACACAAGTCTTCCATAGCTTCCTTTTCCATCTCGTAATCACACCAGCCTTTTCTTCCAAAGATGGAGTAGAGTTTGCATCTGTCAATGCATTCACAGGTGAAAACCTCTTTGATAAAACAGGTCCATCCCTTCTTCGAGAAAATCCGTCATTTGTGACCTCCTTAGACGCATTTGAATTCCTTGCAGATTCAAACTCCCCACTAGAGGCCTTGTGGATTTCATTGTCACTCGAACTTCTTCGGTTCCTAAGAGTCTCGACATGACCAGTATTCCCATTAATATTGGGAGGGCTGCGGATATTCATGGATTCCAATGTAGAGTTCCAATCTTGAGAATTTAAGGATGTAAGATGTGACAATGTAGCTGGTGAAAAACGATGGGAAACCACTGCTTCCTCAGGAACCACTTCCATAGATGCATCTTCTATATCCTTCTGAAGAGATAACAACTTCCAATACATGCATAGAAGAAATAAAGCATTCAAACAAACTCCCACGAGCATTGCAGGGAAAATTCCGACTACGAAACTTCCAAAAGAAATCTTACTCTGAACTGCGATAACCAGGTTTTGAGGGTTGCCAATTGGAGTTGCTGAAGACCCAATGTTTGCACTTGAGGCAAGGGCCAATAGGAAAGGATGAGGTGGGAGGTTCTGTTGCGCCGCGATTTTCAAAACAAATTCAGTCAAAACAACACAAGAGGTATCATTAGTGAAAAGAGCACTGGAAATGGCAGAAATAAGGCAGATTCGACAAAGCAAGTCCTTGGCTCCCCAACTCTTCCAGGTGAGCAATTTACCCAAGTATTTAAACATGTCTGCTCTTTCAAGATACACACTAACAACCATTGTTCCAAAGAGAAGACCAAGGATTGGAAGATCAATGGCAGCATATGCTTGCTCTGGTGTTATAACTTGGAAAATTACCATCAGCATGGCTCCTAAGAGGGACCCTGCAGTCCTTCCAATGGGCAGGAAAGGGACTGCTGGGAAAACTGCCAATACCCAGAAGATTGCAAAAGCAATTGATCCAAGTACCACTTTCACAGTTGGAGCCATGGCCATCTTTTCAAATTATTAGTAGTAAGCCCAAAATCCTTTTTTCCCCAAAATTGAAACTCAACTTTTCAGCATATTAATAGTGGAGACTCAAAGCTGGGGTCAATGTCAAATTCTCAATACAAAAAAACAAATACCTGAAATTGAAAAAATGAACCCAACATCAAAATATGAAAAATTCAATATTCTGCAAACAGTTACACACAATCTGAGAGTCCAGAAAGTATAGTAATTGCAGACCAATGCCCAAAGACATGGCGTGCCAAAAGCAAGTCAGTAACAAACAACCAGAAATACAAGACGACTTCACGTGATTTAACAATCGTCATCATCAATGCCTCTTTCATAATTCCATTTAAGGTGGTATAAAGTATTAAGCTCAACAGCTAAAACAACCCAAAAGAACAAGACCCAGATGCAGAAAATTCTTTATACGATAAGAGAAAACTGAAAGAAGACAAATAAATAAATAAATAAAATAGAGGAAAAGCAAAGAACATAGATCACATTACCTCGAGTGGAAAAGTTGAACCTATAACTGAAAAGTTGGGCATCAATAAAAGGGTAGCTGAAGCTTTTTCAAGGTTTGCTCATGGCAATTGATTGGATCGCTTATATGTGAAAAAACAAAAAACTTTTCCATACACGTCACCGCCACTTGCCTTTGATCATCCAAACCAATTATTATAGAAAAATGTTTGGTGGCCACAATTTATGTAACTTAAATAATTCGAAACTGTTAAAACGATATTGTTTTGATTTGTTTTGCACCTAAAATGACGTCATTTTGACAGTTTCGAATCATTTAAGCCACAGAATTTGTGACTACCTAGCATTGTTGTATGTATAAAACCTGGATTCAAAAATTTTGGAAAATGCCTTCTCCTATGAACATTTTCTTCCAATTTTACCTTGAAAACAAAATATATAATTTAGATTGAAGTAAATGGGACGTGAGTTATTTTACAAAATATACTTTTTAAAGTAATTTTTTTAAAATGGAGTTTCCTCACGCATAAATTGAATTGGAAGGCGTTGTTTGGACATGTATAACTCATTTACGAGTCTCATTTTGATTATTTAAATCATTTGTTTTGTAATTTTTTGTATATATATGATTTATAAGAAAAAAAATTAGATTAATTTATTAATTGTAACCTATTCAATTTATCTCATTTATATAAATAAAAAAAATAAATGAAAAATATATTTTTAAAAATAAATCATCTATTTATTTATTATTTTTTTTATGGCAAACGAAATAATTTAAACGAAAACGATATACAAGTCCATTTTCTAGGGGATAAACTCCCCTCCATACTTTCATCTCTCCATACTTCTCACTACCCCTCTTGTGAGCCCCAATTCAGATCCGTACCGATGATCTGAACCATTTATCTCGTAAGTTTCACAATAAAAGTCATCTATACAAGAAATATATATATATATATATCAAAAAATCATAAGCTTAAGAAAAAAATAGCATTTTGTTTTATCAAATAAACGACAAATGTGATTGTAAACTTAAACCATCCATTTTATAAAACAACATTGATAGAGACTCCCTCCAATCACCACTCCCACCACCCCCCACACACACGTGGTGGGTAGTGATTGGAGGAGAAGGAAAAAAAAAAGAAAAAAAAGAAAAAAAACTGGCCAATGAGAGGGTAAGGGGGTCAAAGGGGGTGGGAGGGAAAGGGGGTTTGAAACATTTTTCTTTATAAAATAAATTGTTTTTGTTCCTATGTTTATAATTTTTCAATAAATCTCTTTTTTTACATGAATGGCCTTTATTACTAAACTTACGAGATAGACAATTTGATCATCGATGAGGGGTCCAAATTAGGACCCACAAAAAAGTATGGAGAGATGAAGGTATGAAAGGGAGCCTATCCAATTTTCTAAACCCAATGACATGTAAGTAATATGATTGCCTAATAATTAGAAAAAATATGAGAGAATGTTGCCTTAGATATTAATTTGATTGTCACATCATAAAGTTTGAAAAATGAATCTAATTTTTAACGGTAGCGATTGGTAGCTCGAGAGTTTCGGCTCGAAATTGGCTCGAAAAAGTGAGAGAGAAGGAGGAGGAGGGAGAGGGAGAGGCTGGAGGAGGGCGGAGGAGGAGGAGGAGGAGGGACTGGAGGGGGCCAACATATCGGGGGGGAGGCGGAGGCGGGGGGCGAAGGCGGAGGAGGGGCGGAGGCGCGGAGGCTGCGACGACTATCGGCCGATGCGAGGCTACGACGATCGGGCAGAGGCGACGGCGGAGGGCTGCGATGGACGACCTGCCTACTCTCTCTCTCTCTCTCTCTCTTTCTCTCTTTCTCTATCTCCCTCTCCCTCTCCTCTCCCTCTGGTTTCAGACCAGCACGACGAAGAAGAAGAAGAAGAAAAAAAAAAAAAAAAAAAAAAAAAAAGAGCCCATTTTGGGCTGTCGAGCCGTGAGAGGCATTATACTTTCGAGCTACCACGCATTTTCCAATTTTTAAACTTGTATAACTAAGTTAAATAAGTTACCATTATTGAATTGACTATATTTCATACGTAAATGATATACACAAAATATATTATAAAATTAATAATTTAAATTATCAAAATAAAATCCAACCCGTCAATACCCTCAAATTCAAATTTTGGACAAATGACAAACCAAATACTTTGTGACACAGATGTGAAGATTGGGAAGGATGTTTTGAGTGCTTCCAGTCCAGTACAGGTTTGTGGTGCAAATTGATGGGAAAGTCGGTGTCAGATGGTCCTGGAAGCAGCCAAAGACGTACACCAATTGGCTCTCCATACATTAATCTTAAGCATGATTATTGGTTGGCACGGGCGGTGGCTTAATAGAGAATGCATTTACTTATATTTTATTTTATTTTTTTTTTTATTTTTAATTGCGTGTCGGTTTCATTATAATATTGCTTGTTCGTCATGAAGCACGTGAGATTTTTATTATAATTTTGTTAGTCAACCAAAATTTTATTTTAATTGCCTGTCGATTTTATTATAATTTTGCTTCTCCCTCATGAAGCACGTAAGATTTTTATTATAATTTTGTAAGTCAACCAAATTTTTATTTACTACTACCTAACACAAACAATAAAAATTCTTAAGTAATTGTTTGCATTGCATCTACCGGTAAACTTCATTTCACTCATTTTTCAAGTAGGTTAGATATATACATTAAATTTAAAATTTTGAAAAAAAATTACATATAAGTGAAAGATAAATTTTTTTTTTTCAAAAAAAAAAAATAAATATTAATAATTAAAATCATAAATTTTTTATATTTTTTTATAAATATTTTTTGTCACCCACTCTGATGTGTAATTTTCTCAAAAATAAAATCAAAATTAACAAGTGTACTTTCCTAATTCAACAGTCACTAAATATTGCTTTAGTTTCTTTACGTAAAAATGTTATAATTTGTCGTATTAAATTATCAATTGTATTAGCAAAAACCTTCCATAGAGTATCCATGACCTAAAAAAAAGAAAAGAAAATTGAGATGTGTCTTGTACATAATATCTCAACTACTCAAGAGCTCTAAATGAAAAATCCTTGCATGCTTCACACGCCCTACTCAAACAACAATATAGACACCCCTTTTTAACTAAACCTTAGATTTTAGACGAAAAAAAAAAAAAAAAAAAAAGAGGGAAAGGGATATGACGGCGTTTTTACAAATGCCTCCTAAAACCTAAATACCAACGGTTGTATTTTTTTAAACAGATATCACGGCGTTTTCAAAACGTCGCTAAACATTATTGGTGACGTCAGCGTGCGTATAGTAGGACATTTCGCGGCGTTTTTAGAAACGCCGCCTATTCTAATATCGTGACGTTTTTAAAACGTCGTTAAGATACAGCGACGGCCGCAGCTTCGACGTTTGGTACTAAACGTCGCAAAAGGAATTAGCGGCGTTTTTGAAAGATATAGCGGCGTTTTTTAAACGCCACTAAAAGTCCAATTTCCAGCAGTGTGTGTAATTTTCTCAAAAATAAAATCAAAATTAACAAGTGTACTTTCCTAATTCAACAGTCACTAAATATTGCTTTAGTTTCTTTACGTAAAAATGTTATAATTTGTCGTATTAAATTATCAATTGTATTAGCAAAAACCTTCCATAGAGTATCCATGACCTAAAAAAAAGAAAAGAAAATTGAGATGTGTCTTGTACATAATATCTCAACTACTCAAGAGCTCCAAAAAAAAAATCCTTGCATGCTTCACACGCCCTACTCAAACAACAATATAGACACCCCTTTTTAACTAAACCTTAGATTTTAGACGGTTAAAAGTTTTTCGATGATGAAATGGTAAATACTTCTCCCTAGAGATTCTTGAGATTGTTATGAGCGGTTGTATCACTCCATTTTAAGCCAGAACTATCTTTTTGCAAAAATAATTATTTTACTCATGAATTCATTTTTATCCAAAACCTAACTCTTTAGTCCCACTTAGAAGAGAGGAGATGGGAAGGTTAGGTTGAACCTAAATGGATGATATTTTCAAAAGCATGGATCAATTTTACTTAAAAACGTTGACTGAGAGTTAATCAGGCATACTTAGACAGCATGTAGGCCCAAAAGTATGGAAATTCACACCATTGTGAGTATTGGACATGTGTCCCCAAATAGGCACGTGTGCTTACACATGCGTGGTGCGCCCCCACATGGGTTATGCAGCCACACATTCCTCGTGCGCCTGCACTTTCTCTCGACACCTAGAATTGTATTTTGATTGGGATTGTTGTTGCGTTTTGGATAGGAGGCGCAAGGAGAAAGCAATGGGGCAACCCTAGCTAACCCTTGTTTGGCATCCAAGCTCGTCATTGCCTATTGCATGTTTTTGCTTTTTTTGCATGTGTTAGTTAGATGTATACTTGCTGCATGTTTAGGTTAGTTCAATCATGATATAAGCATGTATATAGCCTGGTTTGATCATTGTATAGTATCCACATGTTTAGTTTCATGTGTTAGTTTCTTTGTATGCATAAAATCATGTTAATAACTCTTAATCGGGCTTAGGTTTGCCTTATGTGTGTTTAGTTGCATGTGTAGGATCATATGCATCATTTAAATCATATTTTGCATGTTGGTCATTTTGCAGTGGAATCCAAGTAAGTCTCCCTCCTTTCATAGCATGTATTGTTTTTTAAATAATGTAAGTTATGTGCTTTTTAGTGATCAATTAAGTATCTCGGATTCTTTTTTTTTTTTTAATGAATATTGCCCAGTTTGGATTGTATTTGTGACCATATGATTTGAAATTTTTCTTTTTGTAAGAAAATCACGGTTTTATGGAAAATTTGTTTCAGTGATATTTATTTATTCAATCACCTAGTTATAAGGTAACTAATTGGAATTATTTAATTATTTACTCTCATAAAATAAAAGATTATTAGAGGTCAATTACTTGATTGGCGAGAGGGGTGCATTAGTTAATGACCTTCACTTTTGTATCTAAGTTCCTGAACTAAGATGTTTGGTTATGATGGATTAGTGCATGTACTTAGTTTTCATTGTTAAAGGTTTTTAATTTCTTATAAAAATTAAGTGGTGACTCATGTGTTATGAGTGAGTTGGTACAACATAATGTCAAAATGTGCCTAATTCACCCTTAAAGATACGATGTCCACAAGCACTTT